CATTCAATTGATTTTAGGACCCACTATTTTAAAAGGAATGACATAAAGGTTAATTAAAACTGCTAATAAACTTTATTTTTTATAAAAGTGAAAAACAGTGAATATACATACTAGTGTTATTGGTTTTTGCTTTTTAAAAGAAAACTAACAACTTCACTCAACTTTCAGGTCTCAATTATACCATTTTCTAAATTCAGCAGTCCATGTTTCAAATCTAAGATGCCATTAATTATAATTTCTTTAAGAAAGAAAAAGAATTTCCATAAATTGTGACATGCTCAGTTATGAGATACCAATTTCAGACATGATAAAAAGTGAGAAAAACTTTCCTCCTATGTTCTTTGAAGTATTGGTGATCACTTTTTACCAGCTTGTATTTTAAAAGACTTCCTTGTTTATTCATTTTGGGAGAAAAAATAAAATGATGAATTAGTTTTCTGTATGTGGCTTATGTAGTAGTTCACTTTAATGGGTTGGTTGAGGAACCTGAATCTTTCAAACCAAATTAAGGAATAAATCTATTTGTCCTTTGATCTGTGCATATAGTAAATAGGCTAACTAAGGTGATATTTTCACAATCTCTGCTATAAATGCATTTGAAGAGGAAATTCTGTAATTAAAAAAAGATTTCATAAGGATTACTTCTAAAAGTATTTTTATAATGATAAGTTGGAAAAGTAAAGGAGAAGGAAGCCCATACCATGAATGGGGGTGGGGCAAGTAGAAATGGCAAATGAGTCCAAACTTTCTTTTTGAGATGTTGAAGACGTTCCAAAATTAGTTCCAAATGAATAGACTAAAAATTACTGAATGTACATTTGTAATGGGAGAATTTTATGATATGTAAAATATCTCATTAAAGCTTTAAAAAAATTTTTTTAAAGGAGAGAACCAATTCTCACAGTTTTAAAAGTAGTTAGTAAAGATCTGTAATCTTCTGAGAAACCAAACTTCGCTTTTTTATATTACCTTTCATATTTGCCCCATGGTAAATTTTTTACCTTATGAGTAACAATAGCCCCAGGTAATTATAAAGTAGATGGGCTTGTTCTGTCTTCTGTACCTGTGGTGTGTGTTTTAATTTGGGGAGTAAATCACATGCTTTTTAGCAGTATCAGAGCTTTTAAAGTCATCTGAGCATTTCTGTTAGGCTTCTAAAGGTTGAGCCCCAGGAATTATAGACATAACCAATTCTAAGGTTAGATATTTTAGCAGCCCTTGAAGTGTAGAACTTTTCCAGAGGTGAGTAATCTTGTTTCTTCCTTACGTGAGTCTTTTTGATGTTCTTTATTTTTTTCTTTACATGTTACCATCAACATCCCAACAAGTTTCAACTGAAAATCTAAATCAGAGGGTGTCAGTACTTGGTTTTAAATTATAGTATTGTTTAGTTCCTAGGCAAAAGACTAGATGAAAAATTTTATTTAAAATAACACCTCTCTAAAATTTTTAACCAAAGCTTGAGTTATAGGAAATCATTTTAGTGAGTAAGGGCAAGCAGTGAACCATAATTTACTGGACCAATGTGTTACCTTTTTAGAGCTGTAGAATTTTGCTTCTTGACCAAAAGTACTCAAAACATTTCCTCTTGACCTCTGATCTGAATGCAATCCTTCCCTTTCTGTTTTAGATTCTTTTCAGATCTTGGAGCCATTATCTTATCAACATTTGCATGGTTTTCTTTTTAATGTTAAAATTTGCTTGATCTCATTTCCTATTTCATTTCTCCCTCCTTAAAAACATCTAATTACTCAACATTGTTTTAGGTACTTCCTTTTCTTCTGTTTTTGTAGTCTGAACACACACTAATCTTTATAAGACTAAGAAAGTTGAGCACAAAATTCATAAAATCATGTATAAACAACCCAAAGACATTTACTATCTCTAAAATGATTTCTTTATTATCATTAGAAGTTATTTTGTTTTACTTATAAACCGAATGGAGAATTAAAATGCTGGAAACCTTTCTTATTTATTCTGTACAAAATTCTACCGGTAATCTAAGTTTTGAGAGGTGGGAAAGCCTTCATAAAGAGAACTAGCTTTGTAATTAAAATAACAAAAATCAAAATAGTTAAAGCAAAAGTCATTTACTTGAGTAAAGTGGAAATTACTAAGCCTTTTAGAGTCATGAATTTTAAAAGCCTTAGAATTATCTTTCCTAACATGGTAATGAAGTGTTGGAATACCTTCTGCAACAGAATTTCTATACTGATTTCCTCTCTAATGATCAGTAGGAGATCAATTTTGTATTTCACTCCAGTACACACTCATTGAGTCATATCAAGTGCTAAAGCATTTTAAAGTATTTAAGATTCCTGTTGCTTTGAAATATGGGCACAGTAACTTTTTTATGTGGGGAAAATTGCCTTTTGGATGTAATGTTACCAAAGCCATAGGTATCTTCTTACCATGGTTATTATTAACATGCAACATTAAATTAACATGCTTAAGGATTTTTACATGTGAGAAATTTTTAAACTTTAGATATGATATGTAACATTGCTCTATTATTCTCAATACGTTTATATTTAATCATTCGAAGACATTTTTAAAACCACTATCACTTTGTCTTCTGAAGAAAATTCAGCTACTACTTCTTAAATGTTTCATTCAGAATTATAAGGAAAGTTTTGAAAACACTGGACTTCTTTAATTGGACAGAAGATACCAAAGGGAAAATATTGATTCAAATCTATAAATTTATTAATACTGTAAAAATGGACGTAATAAATTCTGATGTGGATATATCAGTACTTCAGAGGCTCAAAAAAGATGAATTCATAGTAAATAAATATGAACATATAGCAGCAGATAAATACTTACGGAATTCATTATTTTAAGAGTGTTTCAAATGGAAGTTGTGAATAAATAAATGAATGATAAGAGAAATTAGGGTAATTGGAGCCAGACATAAATTAGCAATTAAAATCCTTGCTGTCTCTATCAGAAACAGACTCCTCTTCCACCTTTTCCTACCATCACTTACTGGGCCTCTTTCTCGTCAGCTCTAGTTGCTACAAGAGGAGGCGACCATCTGGCATACTGTATACACTGAGTTACAACTACCATAACCATTACTGTGCCAATATGTACCCATTTCTCTTTGGCATGAAATATTAACCAAAAATGATCAACAGTGACTTCCATATGTTTTGCATTTTGCCAGCAAGAAATAAAAGCAAATGACAATGTAAATTATTACTGTGATTCAGAAAAAGTGTAAAGTATTTTTCTCCAAAGCACTAAGTGCACAGAATTTTAGAGTTGAAGGGGATAAGCACTGACAAATGGTTTGTTTTCCTCCCGTGTGCCAATTTGAATTGCTTGGTAATAGGTGCTGTGCTGAGAAATGCTTTGGTAAGTGATGTGTTGGAAAGGCTTTTTGAGGCCAACTTTGATCTCAGAAGGAAAAATTTACAGTCTCTTTAGCAATAGCTAAGGAGATTACAGAATGGATGTGAAGTAGTTTCCATTTCTGTACTAATCTTATTTCCTACATGTTTCATTTGAGGAAACTAAAAATCAGAGAAGTTTGTGATTTCTCATTAGATTATTTGGTACTAAAGAGTAAATCGAAAGAGGAACCCTTCTCACTCCCAGTCCAGCATTCCCCATTTAGCACATCTGTAGTCATATTTCTGTTAAAAATTTCTCTATATTCATGCACGACATAAACTTCCTTTTTGATTAAGGATCACTAAGCCTCATGATTAAAAAAACAAAGAAAGAAAAAAATGTAAGGCACAAAGAATAAACAGCAACACATTTATTTTGGCATGCCTGTTTTTGAGATGAAGAAGCTAAATATACTCTATTTTATACGGAGTGTGTATGTATGCATTTGCAATTATAGTAAATATTTTACCTACATTTCATGACTTTGTCTTTAAAGAGGAATACAGCAGGAAGAAAAAGGAAGAAAATAATGTAAGAATGTATATGGAGAGACAATGGGAACGCAGAGCGAAGGGTTAGGAGGAAGCAAGAAAACCCTCGGGAAAGAAAGATCTGACATGAGGAGAAAATACAAATAAAATATTTAGGACCTTTCTTGATTGTTAGGCATTAAAATATTTTCTCCTTTTGTTTGTGCCTTCTAAAATAACTACTTTTTAATCCTTAAGTCTCTATTCTCAGTGGGACAAGTTAATGATGCACTGCCTTAGTCCTTTTATTAGTCTGGTTGGCTCTTAGCAGCCTAAATGTTTTCCTCTAAGGATTAGAATATTCCTTAGAATTAATTTACGTCTCCTACCCTGATATTTTATTTTCTCCTACAAAGTCAAGACTGATCCATCAAGCATCATATTAAGCCTCTGGTGAAAACATTACTTAACAATATAGGATCTCTATATATATATATATATACTCTGTTTTCCATTCCCAGTGCAAAATTATTTTTCCTAGTTATTTATTTCTTTTGCTTTTCAATTAGTCTCTAATCTAAAACCTACAGAGGTGCCCAAATAGAAAATGACAGCATAAATGTTTTAAATTTGTTTTTACTGCTCGGATTTATTCTTAGCTCTATCTCCATTTTTGTACCATCAATTTAAGATTTATATAAGGTAATTATAATTTAAAATAATATGTAAAGTCTTTAGAAATAATGGAAAGGGCCTTCATGCCTTTTTCAATGAACTCAAAAAATCCTATCGGCTGTTTCTAAGGGAGCATCTTCAAAATGGGAAGCTACTTCTAAAGTGTAGAGCAGTGGTTCTCAACCTTCCTAATGCCACGACCCTTTAATACGGTTCCTCGTGTTGTGGTGACCCCCAACCATAAAATTATTTTCGTTGCTACTCTATAACTGTAATTTTGCTACTGTTAAGAATCGTAATGTAAATATCTTTGTTTTCCGATGGTCTTTCGACCCCCAAAGGGGTCGCGACCCACAGGTTGAGAACCGCTGGTGTAGAGTATTCTTCAGGGTATCATGCGTTACTCCATAGTGATCAATTCCTTTTTTAAATCTGCTGGCACTCTTTGGTGGGTAGGAAGGTAGATGGGAAAAAGAAATGGGAGTAGCAAGCATTCTGTCCTTAATAATACTATAAAGTGATTTTTTTTAAATATCTGCAAAATATTGCTTTTATAACTTAGAGGATTTCTTTCCAAAAATATTTTATCACTTTTGGGCTTTTATTCTCATTAGATTTGAAAATCCATTCCAAAATGAAAACTATTAATATCTTTTGAGTATATTTTAGAATTTTGTCTCAATTTAACTAAAATATGAAACAACTTTCATTTTCAAATGTTTCTTTGGAAGAGAAATAAACTTTTGTGTATTACTTTTCTACAAAATATTGAGTTTACCTCTGCATGTTAAATGTGCCACAAACAAAATATTGTTAAAATTTTCAATTTCAACATAAAACATTTCTAATGGTCTTTTCAGTTTGCTATCCAGTTAGGTCCTAAGGATACAAAATTATTAATTTTATCTAATCTTAAATACAGATTCTGTTGTACTTGTGGAAGGAGAAAGAGTTGTCTTTATTTTCTGTTCTCTTTTTAAGTTTTAAAATGCAACTTTTGCAAGTTTTATTTTTCAAAACACTCTCCAAATTAAAATGGCTATATCAGCTTGTAGTAATGTGAAATGTTATCTAGTGTAAACAGTGGTAGACCCTTGGGAAGTACTGGATAAGAAAACAAGGTTAGTTGAATCTCAAATACTTGATTACATTACGATTTACATCTTCTGTACAACCAACATGTAAATACATGTTTCATTGTTTTCTCTTGAATATCAACAGAATTAAAATTTGCTGTTTTGTACACTGAGGTTTATTTCACTTTAAATGTCCATTTTAGAATATTCTGGGTTGGGGAGGGGAAAGAGTACTCTACAATGCATTTTTACTTTGAATTTTCGCACCTTCGTGTTTCTTTAGGAGTTGATCCCCCTCATACTGTGTACAGCATGCCTGCACCCTGAGCCGAAAGAGAGAGATCAGCTTCTCCACATCCTTTTCAATTTAATCAAGAGGCCAGATGATGAGCAAAGGTGGGTATGACTACTTCTTTGGGAAATAAATAAAATGTTGACTTAATAATTGTACTAATTTGCCATCAAAATTAGCATGTTAACCTAAATGCCTTCTTTCCAGTACCTATTTTAATAAGCAGGAAACACTGGCCCTAGTCACAATGCTCTGAAATATTTTCACTCGTGTTATTCCAGTCACTCATGTTGAATTTGTACATTTTTGTGTCATTTACCTTTGGGCTTCTAATTCAGATATTTCTTTGTCTTTATCTTTCGCACATGACTTCTAAGAAGGCCAAAATATTCCCTCCCTTTTCCACAGCTGAACTAGATACATCATGGCCTCTTAATAATAATGCTTTACAAGAAATAAAATGTTTAATATATGAATTTCTGAATCACTGGACTATCTGTAAACCAGTTACTGTGTGGTTAGAGGGATATTCAGTGTTCTTTTTTAATGAGTCCTGAGTCAGATGCCCACACCCAAGGTTGCCTGAGTGGAGAAATGAGTTATGCCTGGGGGTGGTGATGGGAGGGGACTTTCCAGAAAATGAGGAATGGGGTTTGATCAAACAATGACAGGTGTCTACCTTAAAAAATAAAACCTTTAAATACTAAGTGAAGCTGCTGTACAAGTGTGAACCCGAACAAAACATCCTCATGGGTGGGTGGGTAGGCAGACTAAGCACCAGATGAATTTGGCAGTTGGAATGTTTTTCTGTTATAATTTTCTATCTTAATGAGAAAAGTTTTGCTTATACCTTTGCAAAACAATAGAATTGTACTTTATGATAAGTTTATGGAATTTCAAAACTTGTTTTACTGACTGTTAAAATTTTTACCTCCCCTGAGAATGCTGGAAAATCATGAGTGAACCATAAAACAAATCAAGCTTAAAATTTAAAATACAAGGAATCTCAATAGAATAGTCAAATAAAATACAGAGAAAATAGTCACATAGACTTTAAAACTCTAAATATGTGTCTCTTTCCTGCTCTTACCAAAATATACCTGACCAAGTGCAGAAACAAGTCCTTTTCAGGATCCAGTCAGATTAATCTACCCCAGCAGTCCTCACATGCTAGTCAAATAGAAATAAAGGAAATTAAATCACTGTATTAGTATCATTCATTGCAAATTGAAAATTTTCTAAGGACAGTTTGATGGTGCTATGTTAAGAAAATTAATATTGTATTTTCTCCTTGAAAAATACTGTTCCCTATCTTGATAACTTACTAATTAATACCACGGATTGCATTGTCAGTTTTAGATTTGCAAGGCAAAGAAATACCTTCAGATCTAGAATAGCCAGGTTTCATACTCAGCATGTAAAGCTAACAGCTGCCATCTGGTGGCCAAAAGTACCTATTAGCCTTTCTTCAGGCCAAGCTATGTCAAGATTTCTGCACGTTTGTCCTCATTGAAATCTTTCACCTTACAGAAACACAATTATTTATTAAAATAATCTGACTAATTGATTAATTATATGTTAATAAGTTAATTATTAACGTGAATAAGAAATTAACAAAGCAAAAATTTTAAGTTAGCATAATATATTTGACATGTAATCAATTGTCATTTTTCCTTACTTAATGAATCTCAGGCTTCTTTGATCGTATCCTAAGAAAAACTGAATTTTCTGCTCAGTAATGGTGCTTTTTACCAGTTCTTTGCTAACCACCATAAGTGACACTATATTTCTAGCTTTGTCAAATACTAGGCAAGCAATCTCTGTCCTATGATTTTCCATAAGTGGGAACAACATTTACTTTTGCTATTACAGGAGCCTGTGTCTAATGCTGTTAATAATCTGCAGACCATCTGACCATTTCTATTTTCAACTGTATGTCAGAGCTCTCATGGTTTTTTAGAATTGTGAATCTTACCTCTGCTAAGAAATTTGTTTTGCGGGGTCTAACATTTCAACAAGTTTGTGCCTCTGGTATAGCGATGGTGGCTCAGGATTTAAAGTCATTTCACATGAAGGTCTTATATAAGTATACGCTTCTTACAAGCATTTGAAATGCTTTAATTTCACCAGTTTATTTATTGCAGTTATCAAACATTTGTGGAACCTATGTATGTGCCCTCTCATTATTTTAAGACAATTGTGGCGGGGGGGAGCGGGAGAAACAGTGATCAGATATTAGGACATTTTCATCGGGGAGCAGGCAGCTAAAGTGCTGTGTGTGAAGCTTGAGAATTTCTTTCTCCATTTTCCTTTTATTCACTTTGTTTGCCTTCCTAAAGTAGAAGGACATGAAAAGGCAAAAGAAACATTGAGAAACAAGCATGTAAGACAATGACATACCCCTAAAGGGGAATCAGATGATTACACGGTTGTGGTGAGAAGAAGCTGCCTCGTACAATGGAGACAAATTGGCTCCGCATCTCCCTCGTTGCTGTCCAGATGTTCTTTGTCATTATTCTCCTGAGAGAACAGTTACAGCCAATTTGGCCAAACTCAACAGAAATTTAAAGTCATTCTGCAGTTTGAGTTCAACTGACATATTCTGAGGAACAGTAGTGAGAAATGCGTGGGCTTAAAGTGCTGATTTTATAATTAATATGAATTAAACATTCTATTTGGGTTTTCCTTGAAGTTGAATACTTTAAAACATCTGTTAAAGCATACTTTTCCCCCAGTCTGGTTTTACTGTTTTAAAAGTCTTAGACAATCAAAAGTGAAAAGACACAATTCTTCATTTTAAAGTCATTTGAAATGGAACTTCATTCTGAAGAGTGAAAATCTTAAAATTTTGTACTCTTTTTATGTTACAGATCCGTTCAAGTGAAGTTATTGTATTAGTTATTTACATATTCTGTAAAAAATGACCCCAAAAGAAAGTGGTTTAAAATGACATTCATTTTTATATTGGAGTTTATATGGGTCAGTTAGTCTGGGTCCTGTGTGTCAGGGCTTAGGCTGTGACCAAGGTGGTGGCTGGTCCTGTAGTCATCGCAAGTCTCAGCTGGGGAAGGATGTGCTTCTGAGCTCACTCACATGATTGGTCGTTGTCAGGATCTAGTTTCTCATGGGTTTTTGGATTGAGGATCTCGGTTCCTAACTGGCTTGTGCAAGGGGCTGCTTTCAGTTTCTTGCCACATGCGCCTCCAACATGGCCGCATACTTCATCAAAGTATGCCAGCTAAGAAGATGGTAGAGAGTTTCACAAGACGGATGTCACAGACTTTTGTAATGTAATCTCAAGTAACATCTCATCGCTTTGGCCATTTTTCTGTCCATTAGGAGCAAATCATTAGGTAGTCTACACTCAAGGAGATGGGATTACGCAAGGACTTGAATATCAGGAGGTAGACATCATTGGGAGCTATGTCAGAAGCTGCCGACCAGCTATCTTGGGTGCTATACCAAAAACTCTTGTTTAAGAAATGTCATTTTACTGATATGATACCATAATTTTTAATTATAGAAATACTGGGGGAATAATCACTGATTGTTTTAGTACCTAGAAACTGAAGTTCAGTAGAAGCTGCAGCGTTGGACATACCATCTCAGGGTGCATATGTTTTCATGGAAGTTAATTTAGGAGGTTATGAGTTTCAGCCTCACACAAAGAATCCCTTCACAATACGTCTCACAAATGGTGTCACTGCTAGAGGAACTGGTCTTAAGGAACCCATGTCTTGGTAGAGTCTAGTCCGTGGTTGGAAAAGCCTGGTGTGATTGTTCAGAAATGCTGTATGTCCTGTGAATGGCGGAGCTGACTCTTTAACCCTTAGCCCTGGTCGTGCTTTCTAATGCAAATGCACGTCTTTGTTCCTGTTTTTTCAGGCAGATGATCCTGACAGGTTGCGTGGCGTTTGCACGTCATGTCGGACCGACGCGTGTAGAAGCTGAACTTCTACCACAGTGTTGGGAGCAGGTAATGCACTGTTGGGTTTTCCCCAGCTATTATATTCCAATTTATCACAGATGTTCACATCTTCTTTTTTAAATGCCACCAGGAAAATGGGGGATATAAATTGTGCTGCTGTTTCTGTACCTCTGCACCGTGATTTACTGCTGCTCATCCCAGAATGCTCTGGGATGCTTCACTTTATTCATTCCTCCAACAAATGTTTAACAAACACGAGTTTCAGTGCCGGGGACTGTTGTAGTGACTAGGGGTACAGTGGGGAGTAAAAGACAAGGACATCCTAGTGGGGAGATAAGAGTAAACAAATAGATGACACGATGTTTTCTAGTGTTATAAGCTATGAGGAAAATAAAACAAGATGAGGCTAGGGAGTGAGGGGGAATGCTATTTACAAAGGGTGATCAGGGAAGGAATCTCTGAGGAAGTGATGTTCAGGCAAGGAGCTGAATGAAGTGAGATACTGCAGATGCAAAAGCCCTCAGATGGGAGTGTACCTGATGACATGTTCAGGGAGAGCAAGAAGGGTGTGTGTGTGTGTGTGTGTGTGTGTGTGTGTGTGTGTGTGTGTGTGTGCGTGTGTGTGTAGGGAAGTAGGGAGGTAATACAAATAATACCTTGTATATATTGTATACTTGTATATATTATAAATAAATATATATTAAATATAAAGCGTAAGCCTTTGATGTAGGTAGTTTTCGTATTTATAATTCAACTCACTATTTACTAACAAATACTTTTGGTTTTATATTGCATTGTAATATCCCAGTCTTCTTTAGGACTCAGAATCATCGATTTTTCTAGACTTGATGTTTAGGTCATTAAGCAGCTTATATTTCCATCTTAAAAAGATGGATTTCCTACATATGAAGACAAATTTCATTTATAAGAGCATAGTCCCTTATTCTTAAAAAAAACAAAAAGCAAAAAAAAACTGGTCTCTGGAATATCACTAAACTATACAGTCTTTTAGAATTCTAGTCCCAATTTCCTTGAGTATTTACTTTTTTTCTTCAAAATTTAGTGGAGTTATATTTAGATTTAGTATATAAAGTGAACATTATATATATTCACAATTATCTCTGACAATCCTTTATGCCATCTGTAGATGATAGTGCATACTAACTTAGGGTGAGACTTCAATCACTGAATCAACATGGAAACAACACATACCACTCTGAATTTACAGTTCTGTACAATTATTCATATGTACACTTAATGTTTTATAGTTTTTCCATTTCTTTTCTTTTTTAAACTTTATTGAAGTACAGTTCATATACCACACAATTCACCCATTTTTAAAAAATGTACAAGTCAGTGGTTTTTAGTATAATCACAGAGTTGCACCACCATCACCACAAGCAATCTTAGAACAATTTTATCGTCCCAAATATAAACCCTTGAACTTGTTTCTCATAGTTTAAGATTGTTTTGGCTATTCTGGGTCCCTTGAATTTTCATATGAATTTTATGATCAGCTTGTCAATTTATGCAAAGAAGCCAGCTAGAATTTTCATAAGGATTGCATTAAATCTGTGATCGATTTGGAGAGTATCGCCATTCTAACAATAGTAAGCCTTCCAATCCTTGAATTGAGGATATCTTCCCATTTACATAGGTCTTTTAAATTTTTTCAACAATGTTTTATAATGTTCAGAATATAATTTTGCACTTTTTTGTTTAATGTATTCCTAAGTATTCTTTTTGATACTACTATAAATAGAATTTTCTTAATTTTATTTTCTGTTTGTTGCTAATCTATAGAAATACATTTGACTTTTGTATGTACATTTAATTTTGAGACTCATTGAACAAGACTAAAGAAAAGCAAAATGAAAGTTTGCGTATAATGTAGTTTGACATTCAAACCATCCTACTTTGAGGCTAGTGTTTCTGATTAATTCAGAGATGCCAGTTATGAGCATCTCTGCCACCACCTCTTCTGTCACCTGAACAAAAACGAATATCGGGGTCTGTCTAGCTGCCTGCCTCCAGTTTGTTGCTCAACAGATTGCTATATAATTTTTTTTCTTAATTTTAGGCATCCAATACATAATGAATTATGTCACCTTTTCATGAGGGAATATGAGAACATATATACTCCTTTTCCAGTCAAAGAAAAATTTATATTCTGTGAAGGAGACATGGGAACAAAGCCCAATATGTGTCTTTTTTTTTTTCCCCCTGTGGTTCAGTGTAGTCACCACAGTAGCAAAACCCCATCATTCTACATATGCAAACACAAATGGATTGAAGTCTGCTTACTTTAGAAACAAAATCTTACCACTAGTCACTGGCTCTGGTTAAACCATTGATTAACTTACTTCCTAATCCCTTAGGTAAAAAAGAGGACTGATAAGTCATTCCTGGTGTATATATTATAGATCATATCTATAATATCCAAAAAAGCTGGGGTTGGG